GGACCTCTTGGACTGGTGGTAGGACCTCTTGGGAGTCCGCACGGGTAGGTACCACCACCCCGCCTATTTCCGCCGTGAAGCAGTAATGCGTTTCGGATCGAAGGGTGGGGTAGCCGTTGTAACTATACTGAGACCTTAGAACTTATATCTCAAGGTGGGTGGCGCATTTACGTTGTAGATGTCTATGGGCTCCAGTAACCACTTAACACCAGGTGGGCTGTGAGCTCGTCCAAACATCTAAGCAATAAAAAAAAAAAAAAAAAATTATCATCATCATCATCAGCCTTTATCTGCCCACTGCTGGACATAGGCCTTCCCCAATGCCTTCCACATAATGCGATCTTCCGCCTTCCGCGTCCAACGACTTCCCGCCGTGCGCACTAAGTCGTCAGTCCACCTGGTTGGAGGACGCCCCACGCTCCTGGTACCCTGTGAATGTGAATGTGAATCCTGTCTTCATCATTATCCTGCCCTTCTCCCAGTCACCTGGGGTCGGCGCAACATGTTTTCTCCTTCCATACTCTTCTATCATATACCATTTCTTCGCTCACTCCCCTCTTACCCATATCGTCTTTCACACAATCCATCCATTTCTTCTTAGGTCTACCTCTTCCTCTATATCCTTCCACATTCATAGTTAACACTCTCTTAATATTTTTCTCTTAATATTTTTTTGAGATTTTCTTTACATTGCGCGCTGCGTTGAAACGTGAATACAGTATTATATAACAACTAAGCTCCATATTCAAAAGTGAGTCCTGCAGAGATCCTTTAGTATTGTTATAGGACCCATCACAGCTTGGCGGCAGAATCGGTAACGTCTGCCGAAGAAAAAAACGTATTTTAGTAATTACTAGCGACCCGCCCTCGCTTCGCTTCGGAAACTGTAATTTATTATTGATTTCTCCACTATTTAATGGATGTTATTATACATATAAACCTTCCTCTTCAATCACTCTATCTATTAAAAAAACCGCATCTAAGTCCGTCGCGTAGTTTTAAAGATTTAAGCATACATAGGGACAGACAGATATAGGGACAGAGAAAGTGTCTTTGTTTTATACTATGTAGTGATTTTATGAGGTTAAGTTTCCGACCCCAAAATATTGAGATTGTTCTGAAGCATTCCGAGAGTTCCTCGCCGGATCTTTGCAACGGGTTGCGATTACGATCTGGTACTAGATTCGCCGGCGGAGCAGCTGCTCCTGAGTGTTTAGGTCTCCTTCGGAGGCGCTCCCACAGACACAGCCCACTGAGTTTCGCGCCGGTTCTTCTCAGTGGGTCGCGTTTCCGATCCGGTGATAGATTCTGCGAAGCACTGCTCTTGCTAGGGCCAGTGTTAGCAAAACTCCGGTTTAAGACCCGTGGGCTCACCTACACGTTAGGGCGAAGTTTATATAGCATCTGAAGGCTATCAGCAGAGGTAGAAAAAAAAAAGAATAAAAAAAAATGGAGGCGCTCGGGCAGCTGTTAGCAAATCCCACCCCTCCTGACTGAACCCGTGCTCGCCCAACTATCCTGGTGAAACTGGAAAGGCCTCCGGGCCACCAGTAATCCTTCAATACCAAAAAAAGGCCGGTCTCAGAATATTAAAGAATAAAAATTACAGTACATAAAAATTGGTGGCTAATCTTACAAACATTACCAGACCGGGAAACTATTTCATTAAGCTATCAAAGCACAGCGGTTGCGCAAATTGTTGCAGTTTTACAATGTAATTGTGCATTGTGCCGGTTCGATTCCCAGGGATTTCGTCTTATCGAATAACTCACAATGGGCGTAATCTATTCGACTATCGTGTTAATGCAACCTTGACACTTATTTCGCGTTAAGAAGGCTACCCGTTTTGTTACGTTTCCGAAGGAATTCGATTAGTTTTTTTGATATCTTTATCTTTATTCTTTATTGTACACAGTTAATACAATATAATAATTGCGAAAAGTTATAAAATGGCGAGCTTAACTCAACAATTGAGTTATCTACCAGCTAGCTAACCGTTCTTAAAGATGGTGAGCTTTACATAGGTGGGTAGAAGAGTACATCTTTTATACGAGAACCGCGTCAAAATTTTCCATTTCAATTAATCTTGAATGTGTATTTGGTTTTTAATAGGACTTTAGATGGAGCGTGCGGTTTCAAGAAATGTGTCTCGAATATTGATTCATTTTTACACCCGACGATACGATTCTTTCGGCTATGATACGTAACATGAAAATTTTGTAGGTTTTTTTTTTATGCCTAGATGTGTGGACGAGCTCACAGCCCACCCGGCGTTAAGTGGTTACTGGAACCCATAGACATTCACAACGTAAATGCGCCACACACCTTGACATATAAGTTCTAAGGGTCTCAGTATAGTTACAACGGCTGCTCCACCCTTCAAACCGAAACGCATTACTGCTTCACGACAGAACTTTGAAGTCGTCGTGGCCTAACGGATAAGACGTCCGGTGCATTCGTGTTGAGCGATGCACCGGTGTTCGAATCCCGCAGGCGGGTACCAATTTTTCCAATGAAATACGTACTCAACAAATGTTCACGATTGATTTCTACGGTGAAGGAATAACATCGTGTAATAAAAATGAAACCCGCAAAATTATAATTTGCGTAATTACTGGTGGTAGGACCTCTTCTGAGTCCGCGCGGGTAGGTACCACCGCCCTGCCTATTTCTGCCGTGAAGCAGTAATGCGTTTCGGTTTAAAGGGTGGGGCAGCCGTTGTAACTATAATTGAGACCTTAGAACTTATATCTCAAGGTGGGTGGCGCATTTACGTTGTAGATGTCTATGGGCTCCAGTAGCCACTTGGCACCAGGTGGGCTGTGAGCTCGTCCAATCATCTAAGCAATAAAAAAAAAATAAAAAAAAAAAACTAGACGGGGCGGTGGTACCTACCCGTGCGGACTCACAAGAGGTCCTACCATCAGTAGTCACACAATAATTGGGGTGATTGACCGATCTCTTCACTTATAGGCGATGACAACAATATAACACTAACACGGCTGTGCAGTAGTTTACGCAGTAAGCGCCGAGGGTTGTAGGTTCGATTCCCATATCGGGCAAACATTGTGTTATTGACAGGGTTGTTTGCTCTTTTTCTGGGTGTTTATTATCTATATATGTAAATATATAATGATATGGAATACTCCAGAAAGAATGAATAATAAAAGACTTAATTACGGTTTTTTTTTAAATATAATATGAAAACATTTGAAGCCCTTTTAAAATAAATATTTTAAACAGTATTATTATATGTTCTATACAAAACTGATCTCTCTATGCACTCAATAACAGACAGGTGAGTGATTCTGTTTACGAAAAATCCTTTTATAACACTAAAGTGTTTTAATGGTTTTGATTGATAATATTTTTCTTTACATATTTTTAAAAATATGTAAGCATATTTATCAGCACCTGGTACCCATAACACAGGGGATTCTAAATTAGGGCCGGATAACCGTGCGTGATTTATAAAAAAAATTAGTTTAAATTTTATTATTACTAATTTATGAGTAGTCGATTAAATTTTGTTCGAATGTTGTTAACTTATGTTTTGTTGTTGTATGTCCATGGACAGCATGACGAGAACACTGTCGATTGAGACGCGAGTTCGAAGTCTTAATTGTATTGCGGTTTAACTACGACATTTAAATCAACGCGATAAACGGATTTTAGCTGACATCCGCACAGTATAATTAGCACGCCGATAAGAACATCATTTTATTTTCTTTTGCCATTTAAAAATAACCAAACGCTGTTTGGAAAATAAAACAAAAGTAGCGTCATTTGAATCGTTGGAGATGCTCCGTCGTCTTTATACGTAATCTGACGGGAACTCGATAAATAATCGCGATAAGAAACAATAAACAGTAAAACATTAAATTCGGTGTTTTCATGGGAATTTAAATGTTGTTTATTCCTTAGATATAATCTAATTTGGTATCAAGACATTGCGATAAAAGACAAGAAGGTTAGGTGTTCGTTTAAGATTAAATTTAGTTACTTTAATTATTTAATATATTATGTAATTAAGCTCTTTTATCTTTATTTTATTATTTACTAGATGATGACCGAGCTTTGCTAGTTTTTTTTTTCGATAACGCCATCTTGGATAGTTGCCCTCAATTAAGAAAAATCGTATTATTATTTGCCAATAGATGTCGGGAAGAGTTGATTATTGAAAACACGAATAAAACAACATTTTCTGAAAATAAATCGTAGCTAGATCGATTTATCGTCCCCGAAATCCGCTGTATACTAAATTTTATGAAAATTGTTGCAGCCGTTTCCGAGATTCAGATTATATATACCTATATTAATATACAAGAATTGCTCGTTTAAAGGTATAAGAAAGATTTTTATTATACGTCATTTTTTACATTTGCACGGTAACTTTAAAATAAACCTCTGTCGATTAAACACTTTTCGTACGCTCATCGGTAGATGTTATATTTAAGACTCGTAGCTCGGAAATAATTAAATCTATTACAGAACCAGGGTCATAGATGTAGCTCTGAGATTATTAAGATGAATAGGTAATGGGCCGACCACATAACTGATTAGCGGATGGCACGGGAGAGCTCACGCCCCACCTGGTGGTAAGTGGTTACCGGAGCCCATAGACATCTACGACGTAAATGCCGCCACCCAACATGACACATGAGTTGTAAGGGTCCTCAGTTTTAACAGTACTACGGCTGCCCCGCCCATCAAACCGAAACGCATTATTGCTTCACGGCAGAAATAGATAGACGTCCTTAATACGTTTTTCATCATTTCACATTTATATTATCTCTGCAGTGTTAAGTATTGATGGAATTCGAACATTCAATTGGAAACTAAACCCTGGTATCTATTTCTTTTCAAAATTTCTTTGGCTACTGAGCTCCAGCTGTTCTCATTAATCCAGACACAGATGCAACTGCTATAGACACAATTTTTTTAGAGCGCACTGACCTAGGTTTTTTAAGACGTTCTAAAATGATTTATTTTGTCTACAGATGGCGCGGTGGTGTGCAGTGTTAGCGCTGTGTGCGCTTGTCGTCATTGCCGACGGAGCTGAGACCTCTTCAAGATACCGTAAGTGTATAAAAGCGAGAAGTATTTAAGATGAGTAATTTATATTTTTTATTTACAGCATCGAACTTCTAGAAGCCTTTCTGTGTTCCTTTGTATTACGCTAGAGTTCAGTCAGGACACAAGATGTAAAGATAACATTCCAGAAGCTGTATTCAATATTAATTTACCAAGCTAAATATAAAAATTTGATTTTTGTGTAGATTTAAACTTCGTGAGTCCGCAATGTAGTATGAAGGTAGTTGCATTTTCCCCGTTCCCTTCAAGGCCGTTGAACCCGCGTGTAACTTATTTAAATATTTATATATCTAAAATTATCTGTATGATTCGCTTCGACAGTCTAGCGTTAATTCAAAGCTGTTAAATTCTTACGCGATCGACAACCCAAAGGTATTAAGTGGATATGTAGAAATAGAACACACAATTGTTGCCTACTAGTAAATCATTCGAATCTTCATTTACGATTGAGCTAATCTGGAATGCAAACGTAGCTTGTGTGATCACGAACACTCAGAATTTTAGTCTGTTACGAATCGACATTAATGGCAGCGGTGACAAATGTTAACAAACCTGATTATCATCAGCTTTGGGCACTTTTATTTTCCTAAATAAGCAAACGAACTCCCCACCCAGTAATGGTTAACAAATTCAATAGATATAACAGTGTGAACTTGGGTAGTTTTGAATATGAGCTTAAAGACGTAAATAATATAACAGAGGTTATACCTTTCAAAGCAGAAAACGTTAAAAGCTGCTGCTTTCACTATGCTTAGTAAGGTTGTGGAAGACATTAAAGTCATGATAGTACTGTTATGCCTCTTTCTGCCGTGAAATCATTGCGTCCGGCACGCTTGATTTCTGAAGAATAGGGCGGACTTCACGATTGACCCATGCATCATTCTCCATCGATTCTGTTCGGTTCGGCCATCTATTCAACAAACAATCTTTAATTTTTAGATCACTCACTTCAACAAATCTAATACTAATCCTTTAAGTATTTGCCACGTACCATCCGGCTATGGAATGAGCTCCCCTCCGCGGTGTTTCCCGAGCGCTATGACATGTCCTTATTTAAAAGAGGATTGTGGAGAGTATTAAGCGGTAGGCAGCGGCTTGGCTCTGCCCCTGGCATTGCTGACGTCCCTGGGCTACGGTAACCACTCACCATCAGGCGGGCCGTATGTTCATCTGCCAATAAATAAATATTTAAATGCATTTTTACCAAATTTTAATACCATTTTTAAATTTGAGAATTTTAAGAAAAGAAGTCATATTAATGTCTCATATACCTAGAAATTTTATTTTACCTACGTCGAATGGGAGAGAGATATTTCAGATAGATATATATTTCATTGTCTATTGTCTGTTCAGTTGCTACTGGATCTTGTAGACTCTTGAGGAGACATTTTGAGGTTGAAGTATATAGTATTGTAAAAATGATTATCCATGTAGCTATTCTTTTTTACCGGAGCCCTTTTTTTTATTGCCCTTGTAGGCAGATGAGCATATGGCCCACCTGATGGTGAGTGGTTACCGTCGCCCATGGACTTCATCAATGCCAGAGGCAGAGCCAAGCCGTTGCCTACAAATATACTATAGAAGCCACTATCCACCTTGAGGCTTGAGGTCTATGTCTCGATTGCATATTTATTATAGAAATTTAATATTTTGCGTATTTGATTTCTATTACATGATGATCTTCCATTATTATGAAAGTAATTTGTGAATTGAGGTTAAATACGTATTTCATTACATAAATTGGTAGCTGCCTGCGGGATTTGAACACCGGTATATTCATTTATGAGTAGACCGGACGTCTTATCCTCTAGGCCACGACGACTGTTCCATGGCAAAGTGATGGGAAAACCCAACTGGATTCACAATTTGCGTATAGTTTTTATGTGTACAAACTGTAATATAGTTATTATGCTTAACTCTGGTGAAAAGGATAACGTAATTAAAGAAGGGGGGGGGGGGACTATAGACTATTTCCATGGATTGGGCGGTATGTGTTAATTAATACACTGACTCTGAAAACTCTGACTTTACAACGTATATTTGTGAAATACAAATTCGTTGATATGATAAGTATTTAATTTAGTATGTGAATATGTGGATTCAAGAAATTTACGTTCGAGTTATCTTTACGCTAAGCCTACAATTAACAATGAATAACTTTTAATTAAACAAAAAATTGTACATTTTAATGCTTTCCTTGTATAAAGGGTATTACCTCGATTTTATATTTTTTCTCTGAAGCGCGTTGGTTCGATCGAGCTGTGTTACGAAAACACAACTTTGAGTACTCGTGATCATGTGGCGCGCGTGATTCTAATGGAAGAAGTCCCTGACGTAAAATCAGGCACACACTAGTGTCTATGCAGTTTTCATGAATCCACATGCGTTGTGTTCAAGAGTGCTCACGGGTGCTCACGGCTGGTCACCTATGGATCTTTACGATGTTGACATTATGAGTGTCTGAAATAAACAATTCTGTAAATAAAAAACCTACTTACTGGCACCTTCACATGGAAAGCTTAAAATCGATGTAATACCATTACCCTATTTTGACATATTTGTAATATACTAAAACTAAACATTTTAACGTTTTTACAGAAACAAGAAAATCACGATCTAGACACGGTACGTATACAACAGACGCTCAATTAAGCATTGATGCATTTGATATTTTTTTGAGGTTATTTTTTTCTAACAAATTTAATTTGCCAAATAAATCCAATGCATTATGAGTTTTTAAATATGGTAAACTAAAATTAAAAGATTCGTTAATAATAACAAAAAAAAAAAAGGTAACCGATGCTTTATATAAGCCAGCTTAAAGTTGTAGACGTCATTAAAACCAATTAATTACCATTTCAATCATGTTTCAATTCATGTGAGATTAAGCGTGTTTTCCGTCTGTGTCAGTCCGGAGCTCTTGTTAAACAAGGATGGAAAGCTGTTGACGAACATAAAGACTTTTTTTTTATTGCTTAGGTCACGGCCCACCTGGTGTTAAGTAGTTACCGGAGCCCATAGAAATCTACAACGTAAATGCGCCACCCACCTTGAGGTATAAGTTCTAAGATCTCAAGTATAGTTACAACGGCTGCCTCACCGTTCAAACCGAAACACATTACTGCTTCACGGCAGAAATAGGCAAGGCGGTGGTACCTACCTAATTTTCTAATAGTCATGATCGATTTCATGTTAGCGCAGCTCATACACATCCCTGAGACGCCGTAACATATCAAGTCGTCTACCAATATCTTGAAACTAGCTCGTATTATTTATTGTAATTAGCGCACAAATTACGAGCGATATGGCTTATTAAAATCCTTTAACAGTTTTACATTTTCAAGATAGGAATTGTCATGTGGTTAGTTTGTAAATATGGTAGGGGAAGCGCTAACCCTTTGACTAACTGTATGACTTTGACTATCTTTGACTATCTGTACCTTTGACTGTCATTTATGTTACTGATACCCTACGTGACGCACAGATGTAATTATGTCGATTTTTGCTATTAAGCGCCTGGATTGCCTAACTTTGCCTTCTTTTGTTTTTAATGGATGTTTCAGTCTTTTAGGTCTCTTAGAAATAGATAAATTCTCAGTATCTTCGTATTCGTCTTTCCCAAACTCTACTATTATAGATATTCCAGTGCCCTACTTAGAAGGTCCGGTGTTCCACATGGCAGTCAAAGGGCTAGTTTAGCCACAGATAGAATTATCGATACATATTCATTTCTAAATAATATACATCAATCATGAATTAACAAAGAACCAATTCACGTGTTCAAACCATAACATACCGAATTACAACATTCAATATTTCACGCGTTATTTTATATTTATTCATACTTTCATTTCTCATGGCTTTCTCTGGTTTTGTTTTGAAAGGAATTAGATATACCAGTAAACGGGATTCTAATACGGAACTTTCACAGTAACTTGGTCATTTGTTATATAATGTTTTTGTATATTTCTTTTGCATTAGAATTATTAAGGGCACCGCTTTATAACTATGGTTTTAGTTTAGTTTGTCCGGAAATTTCTCCCCGGTCGGAGACCTAGAGGTAGACCCAAGACAGTATGGAAGGATATAGTGCTGAAGGACAAAAGGGAATGCAATGTTTCTGGCGAGGATGTCGAAGACAGAGCGAAGTGGAGAAGTAAAGTAAGGAAAGCTGACCTCATCACCATGTGGGATAAATAGCTGGAAAGAGAGATAGAGAGAGTTTTAATTAAAAACATCTTTTCATTACCCTTTGCCATGATAGAGAAATAAATTGTCATTAACTTTGCCTTTTCATGGGTTCAGTCTCATGCGAGGTTTGGACGTGGGTTGTTGATCGACATGTTTTTAGTCGGTTCGGCTCCAACATGGTCCCGCCCGCCATTTCTAGTGGGGTCGAAAGGGCAGTGTTTCCTCTTGACCAAAAAAAAAAAAAAAACACGAATCTTGTAGATCGTAACGTGATTTTAGGCTTTTTGTAAGTTGGTATCATTTTAATAGTCCATAATGGCACGCCGCTGTTCATTCGTACCCATAAAATAATGTAAATTACCGTAAATTCATGTACTTTTAATAGGATATATATCTATGCAATGTTCGGAATATACAATTTTATTGGTATTCATCGTCCATTATGTTTTGTTGTTGTAATATTTGCTTGTAATATATTTAGTGTAGTATAAACTATTTCTTATGAATTAAGTTTAAAATAGCATGTGCTGTTATTTACTGCTTTTTTGCCTGTAAATATTTTTGACTGTAATGTTGTAGACGCTTGAAGTAGATTAAGCTTTAACAGCAAGTCATGCGATGTTAGAAGTAGCTTGTTGCTCCTATGACAATTTTGTTAAAATAGTGTTTATTGGGAACTAAATACCTCTCAATTACGTTTTTTGTATAGTCGATCTTTTGTTTTTCTTTCACACTGCTTCTTTAGACATTCTCGTTTATGTAAAGAGCTGTCTCTTCTTTTTGTATTGTCTTTCTTCTTTGCCTTCTTCATTATATAGTCAAGTCAAGTCTTCTAATGTCTTTCTTCTCCTTTGCACATTGTATGGTGATTATGTAAGAAGTTTATGTTTCTCCTGTTCTTGTTATACTATTCTTCTTTTTATTCTTGTACAGAATCTCACATTAATTAATCTAACAATTTAATTTCTCCTTTCCTATAAATGAAAAATTCTTATGTCTTTAATAACAAGGATTCGTCTTCTGTATATCTATAATTTTCCTATAGTGTACTACTTACTACTAATCGCCTTTTATAACGTCTTTTCATAATTTTTTTCTTTTCTTCTACGATTTGCTCTATTCTACGTATATTTCGCTGTTTTCTTTTCTGTCCGCTGTGTCTTCCACTTTGGTGTTTCTTATCGTCATGAGCGACGATCCTGATGAAGGTCTGGTTTCCAGCTGACCTGGCATCAAACCAGCAGACAGACGTCGACGAGATGGTCGGAAACCTCCTGCACTGGATTCAGGGATTATACCAGCAAAGAACTAGGAAAGGTCCGGATTCGATATTCTCGATTTCATTATTCGATATTTCTGCTTGTTTGTTTATAATTTAAATTTAAAATATATGTAGGTTGTTGGTTAGTCTTCTGTATTTCAATGCGGAAAAATTACTACACTCAAAATTAAATCTCGATAAAGTAACTACCGTAAATCCTATCATTTACACTTGTTCATGCAACGTACATGTTTGGTCATTTTACATGGTCAATAGCACTGCACTGCACCAAATTGCACTGAAGATTTAGCCTGTATTCCGCTATATTTTCAGTCTAGAGATCATCAATCTTCATTAGAATTTAATTGGCATAATATAAATAGATATCTTAAAAAAAAACATTGATTGATTGGTCTTTTCTGATTATAGGGAAGACAGGATCTCTTAATCAACTCTGTAACATATTTAAATGTGCTTGCAGCTCGTCAGTACTTCGGAGGAAGACCTGAGAAGCCAAGACCTTTTGAACCAGCACCATCTTACTTACCCCCTGTGACAGGATATCCAGCTGCAGGATCACGTCCCACTCCTGTCTACAATGAGGGCCCATCATCGACAGTTCCGCAAAACCCACCAAGCCAACCTGAAACCACGTATCAACCGGAGCAACCCTATCCTCCAATCCAACCTACTTACTTACCCAGCCGCCCTGCTCAACCTAGCTACCAACCCAGCCAGCCGACACAACCTTCCTATCAGCCAAGTTCACCTTCAGTTCCTACCTACCAGCCTAGTCAACCGACTTACGAGCCTTCGCAACCTAGCGACCAACCCAGTCAGCCGTCCCAACCTTCTTATCAACCTAGTCAACCAACCACTTTCCAGACAAGCCAACCCACTGTTCCTGAAACCACTGTTCCTGCTTTCGTCTCCGACAACGGCGGCAGCAGCTCTGGCGAATCCTCGCAAACGCAACTACCCACCCCGGATGATGATGACGATCGCCACCCTCCTCACATTCACGCTATCACAGTTGACTGTGGCAAGGAAATGATGACAATCAACGTCGAATTCAACAAGCCGTACAATGGCATCATCTATTCTCAGGATCACTATAACGAACCTGAGTGCGTTTACGTCAGAGAGAATTCGAACCAAATCAAATACTCGTTCACTGTAAGCCTAAACACTTGTGGCACAAGATTCTTCAGTGACTTCCAAAACGAAGGCCAAGCCTACCTCGAAAACGTACTAGTACTTCAAAACGAACCCGGTATTCAAGAAGTATGGGATCACATCCGCAGAGTCAGATGTTTGTGGGAAGGAAATTTGACCAAGCAATTGGTTTCATCGCTCAGTGTCGGTATGCTGAACCAGATCACGAGCAATTTCAGTGGAGACACAGCCATGGCACGTTTGGACATCCAGACCGGACGCGGACCTTTCGCGCCTGAAGCAAACGGCCTGATCAAGATCGGAGAGACCATGACTTTGGTTGTATCTGTTACCGGAGACCCAGGATTCGACATTCAAGTTAAAGAATGTATCGCCAGAGACGCCGATAGCCGCCAAATGGTACCGTTAACTGATAGCAACGGTTGTATATTAAAACCTAAGCTATTCGGTGCTTTCCAGAAAACAAGAGAAACAGGAAATAGTGGGGCATCGATCATTGCGTTCGCGTTCTTCAAAGCTTTTAAGTTCCCCGATGAAATGGACCTAATTATCCAATGCGATGTGGAGTTGTGCAAAACTGACTGCGACGTGTGCCCTAACCCTGGGAGCATCGAACCGAGGAGAAAGAGGAGGGATATCATCCATGTCGGAAACAGAACCGTGGAGCCTATGACGACGATTAGTAAAGGTTTTAGAGTGGTCTTTGCTGAAGACCTCCCAGAGCCTTCTGGAGTGTGCATGACGCAGTCCGCTGCTTTGTGGGGCGGAGTGCTGGTACTCCTCGGATCTTTGATGAGCAGTGTCCTCGTTTCGTATTGCTGGCAGAGATCCAGAGGCACCGTGAAGTTTACATAAAAATATCGAACTGGATTCAGTCATGATACTCGTAAAATAAATAATATTAAGACAACGAATTATTATGAGATTACATTTTGTATGATAAGATTTCAAATATACTTAGTGACGTTCCACAAATCACTGCCAGATTTTATTTTAAGTTTTTGAAGAAACGCATGTACATACATATACATAAATACCTTCGGCCACTGTTTGAATTCAATGTAAATTTGTTGTAATCGAGTATTGAATGTAACGATAAAGAAAATACTAATTTATAGTATTTTTAAGATTAGTTTTAAGTTATTTTATCTTTTTGTAAATATTAGGATTAATAAATGATTTAACAAAGTTAGTTTTGCGTATTTTTTTTAACTACACAGAAGAAGAAGAAATTTGGCAACAATCAGCTTCTTACAAGAAAATAACATTACAATAGTATAAGATGATAATAATAAAAATTAAGTAGGTGTGTACAAGCTCGTATTCTGAAAACACGCCAATGTGTTTTTTTTTATTGCTTAAAAATAAACGATCGACGACGACGATCTTACAGCCCACCTGGTTTTAAGTGGTTACTGGAGTCCATAGAAATCTACAACGTAAATGCGCCACCCACCTTGAGATATGTTCTAAGGTCTCAGTATAGTTACAACCGCTTCCCCACCCTTCAAACCGAAACGCATTACTGCTTCACGGCAGAAATAGGCGGGGTGGTGGTACCTACCCGTGCGGACTCACAAGAGGTCCTACCACCAGTAAGAAAAGTATCGCCTCATGAACAACGTTGTTGTGTGCGATTAAGAACTATGTATTATGATTATATTGTGTGGCTCTAGCATGCGACGCACACACGATAAGAATGGAGCCAGTGTGCTTAGTGCTAGTTTTTTGGAACTACGTTTACCGTTAGGGGCGCTGTTCCAAATCCATTCAAATTTGAGTTAGCTTTTACGCGATCGAGAAGTTAAAATATTCACATTGAGCACGCTATGCTATGTTATACGCTATAGAAGCTATGCGTTTCTATAATATAAGTACATCTAAATATAGTTAGTTTATTTATAAACGTAACGAATAATCATTCTCCTGCCCTTCTCCCAGTCACCTGGAGTCGGCAAGCAAGCAAGAGGGGTCGTCGTACCCTCTTACGGGGGCACGGAACGGGCGTCGGGGCAAACCCCACTGCCCAGGCAGACGCTCCCTGCCACTCTGGGCAGGGGTGAAGTAAATGCAGGGAGGAGATGGGAGAGCTACGGCTGTTCGCAGCGTGTACGGCTGCACTACATCGACAAAATGATATATACATAAACATTTACATTTTTACAACCAGATGGACAACAGTCAGCACGGGGGGCCCGCCACCGGCCCCATGCTGCGGCCCCACCTCTACAAACCAGAGAGGGGGCCGCGGCACTAGTTAGGCGCTCACCCACTCCGGGCTCCCCAGAAGGGGAAGACCGTCGCGGGGAGGGACCGATCTACCAACACTCCCCAGACGGGGGAGTGGTCCACCCTTGGGGTCGGCGCAACATGTTTTCTCCTTACATACTCCTCTATCATATACCATTTCTTCTCTCACTCCCCTTTTACACATATCGTTCCACGCTATCCATCCCTTTCTTCTTAGGTCTACCTCCTCTTCCTCTATATCCTTCCACATTCATAGTTAGCACTCTCTTACCTCATTTTCATTTCGTCTCATCACATATCCATACCATCCCAAACGCGCACTTCTCAACTTCTCTGTCACAGGTGCCACTTTCAGACTTCCTCTAACATATTCCTATAACATAAGGTAATGAGATAAATAATTCACAACATTCCAATTAAATTTTTAGTAACTATTTTATTAATTTTTAGTGAGCTGTAGACATTATTAAAACAAATTTTACTTTTAATGTCGTGTTGTTATTATTATCATTATATTACCGTTTTATCAGTATTCTTAGTCATTCATTAATTATTACTAGTTTAATAATTTGAAGTCATCTTGGCTACAGAATAAGATACTCAGTGTACTAGAATCGAAAAAAGCAATATAAAAAATATATATAAAAAAGTCGATCGATGCGACTAGAATATGATGAAACGCGAAAAACCTAGAGGTATCTCTGTTAAATTTGATTTAGCTCATGAAACTGTTATAAATATGTACGTTCATGACATTTATTTTTACATATTATGTTTATTTTTAGTTGCCTAAAACGAGATCAAACCCTAAGACATGACGTCTAATTCTCAGCCGTTAGTATAGTTTAATCCGGCCCTACCCTTCAAGCCTTCAAGCTTTGCGACGGAAAGATGCTAGTTCCAGTCATTTTTTTTATTGCTTAGATGGGTGGACGAGCTCACAGGTCACCAGGTGCTAGGTGGTGACCGGAGCCTATAGACATCTATAACGTAAATGCTGCCACCCACCTTGAGACATAAGTTCTAAGATCTCAGTATAGTTACAACGGCTGCCCCACTCTTCAAACCGAAAGGCATTACGCATTTAAGTAAAAAAAACCCAGGGATAACATTATTTAAGAATGTCAATCAGAAGTTATTTTATTCGTATGAAAATGCTATGTATAAGATCTTTATGATGCGAATACACAATGCATAATCTGGTGCAATTATTTTTAGTTTGTATATGATTCAACACTCATTACTGGGTGTAGGGTAAAACGAATTTTATCATTCGCGTACACATATGTCCGGAGGATCCTGTAGTGACACTTGTCAGTTGGGTTATCCATCAAGGAGTGGCGATGGATTGGCGAAGATTGACGATTGTCTGTTGTGTGTATGCTGAGACTTTTGGTCAATTACTTTCTGCTCCCAAATTCCTCTTAAACTCTTAGGTTTCTAATTATACTAGTTGTATGGCATATTGGAACATAGGCTTTACCTAGCGTGTGGGTGAGCTCTCGGGGCTCAAACCGGAAGTGTTGCTAACACTGGCCCTAGCATGAGCAGTGCTTCGCAGAATCTACCACCGGATCGGAATCACGACCCACTGAGAAGATCCGGCGAGAATACCAGTGGGCTTTGTCATGGGGTAGGACGGTGACCGGCGATTGAGGGTCCTAAAAGCACCGAGAGTGAATCCGGGGGATCCGACAAAACATGTTTCGGCGACAGCGGTTTTGCGTTGCCCCGTCGCGACCCGATAAGATTGTCACCCTAGTGTGATGGCAATGTCGACGTGGAGGTAAATAAAATTAAACTGTATTTTATTTTCTGAATCTATTTAATTCATTATAAATAACACTGGGTGTTCAGTTTAAAACTAACTTTGTTTTCGTCTACACTGAAATATAAAGCGAAATGGACAAAAAAGTTACGACGGCTGAGCTTATCACACAATCACTGGCAATGCTATGCAGTAAGTCCACCTCTTGCTATTGTTACGCGCTGGGGTTCGGGATAAATAAAAAAATCTACCTGTATTCAACACTTATAACACTTAAAACATTCAACAAACACTTTATAATTCTCAATTCGCTTCTTCCGCTTCGCTTCAGGTGATCCGTTCGCTGTTTCGCTTCGAGTAGTTCCAATTACCGACTGACTGCGTGCCATCTCTGCAACGTTTTTATAGCCGATACATCCCTAGAATTATCGAGAATATTCCAAACATTTCGAGTATTGTGTTTCTGTTATCTGACAATAGATGGCGTTGTACTTCTAGATGCTACTAGATCCTTCGATATTCGTTCGACTATTCGGCGAAAAATGGTGTTACTCTTAACGGCGTAACATTATTTATGCACGCCTGGTAACAGCGTGTAATCAGCCAAGTTCTATGATCGCCCGATATTCCAACTTATCGTTGTGTTCTATCTACGTATTTCTCGAATAAAGTTCCTATTGACATGAGCCCCTGGTATTTCAGAATGTTACTTCGTGCTTTTTACCATTGATATCTACGCCTGGTATATTTTGTTACCCGTAAAACAATGGTGGTTTTGTCTCAAATTTTCAATGTAGAAATTATTATGATTTCTTTGTGAAGTCTCGGTAAATGTAATTATTAAGACAATTAAACCAATAATAGCTCTCGAATATACAGACATAAGATATCTTAACAATATTATCAAAGTGAAGATTTCAATTTGTAATGAATTCTAATAACAATTGTGTGTAATTTTGTCTAAATGAGTCGTCTATTATCAAAGGTGGCAATCTGTGCATTTGGACAAAAAAATGTTATTGATATGTCAATACAGATTGATTTGAATATAATCGTCTCCTTCAAAGAATACCGTTCAAAACCTGCATTAAATAAAGGTTAATACTTAACCTGTTATTTATCTAAGATGTCGTTCAGAAGAGTTTTGTGACTGCCAATGGAATACAAAGTCAATAATTCGTTTTTCTGATTTACCAATAATTGTCCAAAAGTCACATTGCCGGCTTTGATAATAGTCGACTCAAATATTAGTGCAAGTCCGCATAAAAATGGCTAGCGAAATAGATCCCATTTCTTATATTTCAGTAGTCGAAAATACATTTTAATTGCTTGCTCTAAGTGTCACAAGTGGCTATATAAAGTTTTACTGTTCTGTGTACTTTCGACCCAACCAGATTATATTGCATCATTTATTTATTTTATCTTTAAACGGTCTTACATTGTACTTAATACAATGCCATCAAATATAATTTACATTTTCAAATTTGAAGTTTTTGAAGTGAATCTTCTTATGCGACTTCCAACGAGGTTGCGTTAAACGTTTAACGCAACCATAATAGAAAGAGACAGAGCGAGAGCGAATGCGTGGCACTCGAACGCATGTGCGTAGTATACCTGTTACAGGCCAGTGCGAGCGTTAGCAACGAGTGTCCGATATCTTAATGAAGTATTAAAAAAAAATATATATATATATTTATTTTCCTATCTATAATTTAAAATATATCTATATATATAAAAGAAAGTCGTGTTAGTTACACTATTTATAACTCAAGAACAGCTGAACTGATTTGGCTGAAAATTGGTGGGGAGGTAGCTTAGAACCGGGAGAAGGACATAGGATTACATACTTTTTATCACGTTCCCATGGGACGTGACATAAAACGTGGTATAACAAAATGCAACTAACAGCTAAAAGTAATATATTCTATGGTTAATTATAGTAGAATTTTGAAGTTGACCGGTTGATGTGTTTGAAAGAAACCGTATGGCGGAACAAAGTTCGTCGGGTCCACTAGTATAATATAAATGTTGAAGATGTCGTATCTCTTATACACAGCATTGCCTTTACAGAAGCAATCTAATTTAAGGATGAAAAATGAATAAAACCACAATACTTCACGTCGAAAAAGAA